CGGCCTCGCGGCCGCCAGCCCGGACCGTGGGCAGGAGCAGCAAGGCTGCCGCCCGCGGCGGCAGCGCGGCGGCCCAGCCCGCGCACGGCGTCGCCGCCAGTCGCGGCCACGCGGGCGCGGAGGCCCCGCAGCGCAGGCAGGCCACCCAGCCGGGGCCCTGCGCGGCGGCGTGCAGCTGCCAAGCTTGCCCCGCGAACAGAGCGGCGCAGCGGGCCCTGCTGCCGCCGCCGCCCGCACTGCCTGGCGGCGCCGGTGCTGCTGAGGCAGCTCCGGCCGCAGGGCCCCGCGGCGGCGGCCCCCCTGGCTGCGCGCCGAGCACGCCCCGCCGGCCGCGGCGCCGGCGCTGCGGTCTGCCCGCCCGAGGGGCCACGCCGCTGGCGCTGTGGTTCACTTTCAGCGCCGCCAGCTCCACCTCTGCCAGCATCCGCTGTGCGATGCCCAGGGCGCGCAGTCGCTTGTCCCGCCCAGCGAGCAGGGCGGGCGGCTGGAGCCGCGCGCGCGCGGCTGCGCCCGCCAGCCGGTCAGCGGCGGCGAGCGGCGGCGTTCCGGAACGCCGCCGCTGACCGGCTGGTCCTCCTCAGCCATGCCTCGGGCCCTGGCGCTGGCCGCGTCGAGATGCCCTTTGATCCTTTCTCGCTTCCAGGTGCCCTATCTGGCAGTACGGCGCCAGCAACTCCCAGATCTCGGCGTGCGACCACTCCGCCGGGGACGCCCCCGCCCGGAGCGCCGCGACCCCGTTGCTGACGAACCGCGAGTCGGTTATCACCTCGACGGGGCCTGCGGCGAGGCTCACCGCGTGCAGGGCAGCCGTCAGCTTCGCCCTCTGCGCCGTGTGGGGCCCGTCGACCGCCCCGCTGCTGTCCTGTGGGCCGGCAGGGCCGTCGAGCCTTACCCCCCATCCTGCCTTGGCCAAGAGCGGGTCGGCCGGCCGCTCGCAAGCTCCGTCTGTCCACGCTCGGCGACGCGGCGGGCCCGGTGGGGCCAGCAGCCCGGCGGGCAGCGGCGGGGGCTGAATGGGCGCGCGGGCGCACTCGGCCAGCCCGCGGAGAACGGGCTCCTCCGGGAGGACGCCAGTGCAATCCGTGCCAGGGGGCAGAGCCGCGCGGAGGCCCTCCAAGCGAAAGCCAGTGCCCCGCAGAGCAGCCGCCCGCGCCTCCTGCCAGCACGGACACCGCCAGAAACGGTGCTCCAGGTCCTCGTCGGCCGTCCGGCAGTGAGGGCACAGCCTCGGTTTGCCGCAATGCCCCGCTTCGCCGCCCTCGTTTGCGTGACGACGCCGCCAGCGAGCACCGCGCGCAGCGCGCCCGCCAAGTCGGGCGCGAGCTGCCCTTCCTCGTGGAGCCTGCGCGTGGCCCAGCGGTCCACCCCGCCGGCGAGGTGCGCCATGTCGCCCCGGCGGGCGGCGACTGCCGCTGCTTCGCGGCGGGCCCAAGCCGCCAGCAGCACGCCGCGCGTTGCCTGCAGCGAGTGCTCCGCGGGCCGCCACCCCGCCGGCGCGGCCTGGACGCCAGTCCAGCTCTCGACATCGTGCCCCGGCCGTAGCTCCGCGAGGCTGCGCACGGCCGCCGAGATCGGCCCGTTCTGCCGCCCGTGCCCCGCCGCGATGGTGCCGGCTGCGCTACGCCACAGCTGCGCTGGGAAGCGACCGCGGCGGATCGCCTTCGCGATGTGCCAGAGCGGGGCGATGGTCGCCACGGCGGCGGGGTCGAGGCGCCAGCTGGGGCTCAGCACGCCGAAAACGACTTCCGCGGCCGCCCGGAAGCCGCCGCGGCGGCATACTGCGTGCCGGGCAGCTGCACGGAGCCCTCGCAGCTCGCTCTAGGCGGACGCCCGCGCGCTGCGCCGTACAGGCCGGCAGCCGTGCCCGCGCGGCGCTGCGCCTGGCCTCGCCGGCGACGGCAACCACCCCGAGGTCCCGGACGGTGGTGCCGGCCGCCACCGCCGGAGTCTGCGCGGCAAGCCAGCGTCGCACCTCGCCTGTGTTGGCGAACTGCTGGCTTTTCCTCCGGTTGAGCTCCCAGCCCATGGCGGTCTCGAAATCCAGCGTCACGGCCAGGGCGCCCTGGACGGCCGCTGCCGCTTCGCCCGCCTCCTCGGCCGGCGCGCGCATCCACAGCGTGAAGTCGTCTACGTAGATGCGCTGGCGGAGCCTTGGCTCCAAGGCCCCAGCCCGCCAGCGCCATGGGAGCGTCAGGACGCTGAGGAAGAACACGGCTAGAGCGCACCCTGGGAGTAGACCAGAGCTGGGTGACCACGGCGAGCCGATTGCGCGCCCGACGCGAATCCGCCGGCGAGCAGCGTAGGCGCTGAGAGCCGGCTTCACAAGCCAGTCTGGCAGCCCCGCCCGCCGCAGCAGGCCCGGCAGCGACGCCAAGTTCACCTGGTCGTATGCCTTGCACCAGTCGAGTGCGGCTCCTGCGATGGATTCGGACATCGCCTCTGCTGCTTCCAATTCCAAGGCGAGCTCCCAGGCGAGTTTCAGCCCCCAATTGGACGTCCTCCCCCGCCCAGCTCAGCCGCCAGCGCGCGAAGTCACGGGCCCGCCCCGCCGCCCACAAGCGATACATGATCGGCAGCAGCCATATGGGCCGCCTGTCCAAGGGCCCCGCCCCCCCGCCAGGCTTCGGCAGAAGGAGCCCCTCTGGCTCTACCAGCTCGCTTGGCCACTCGCCGACGGCCTCCACGGCCTCGAAGAAGTCGGCCACCCAGCCCAGCAGCTCCTGAGGCAGGAGGCGCAGCTCCGCCACCGTCCATCCATCGAGCCCCGGCTTCTTCCGCTTGGGCATGCGGCGAAGCAGCCACTCGACGTCAGCAGCTGCCCACTGCTGCCTGGGCGGGAAGGGTGGCAGGCCGCCCAGCTCCTGCAGCCAGACCTCGCCGAGTGGAGGGGCCGCCTGTCGCTGCCAGAGCTGCCTCCAGGGCCCCTCGTAGAAGCGGAGCCTAGCGGCGGGCCCGCCGCGCAATGCAAGCAGCCAGGACCGCCGCCCAGGAGCGTTCGGCGCCGCTGCATTGGCCGCGGGGTCAGGCACGAGCTCCGCGTCCGCGTGCACCACTCAGACACGCTCGTTCTATGTGTGTGTGTGTGTGTGCGTCGGCCCCGCGAGGGCGACGCGCACGCCACAATAGATTCTAGCAGAAACTCCGTGGCTGGTCATGCCGCTCGCGGCACGACCAACATAAGTTTGGGGTACTAAGTTTTCGCGTCGGACGTGCCCCTCCAACATCAGCACACTGTCCTCCTCTTTCTCCACGCTTCGACTCGGTGTGTCAGCATTCGGCGGCGAAGTCCGAACCCGACCCTCGCCGGTCAACAATTCAGGCAATTCGACGGGCGGCGGGAGTAGGGTTCGGGACTCGTCGGATTCAGAGGAACCGATGGTTGGTGCGGGTAGGTTTCAGATGTCGCCGCCCAAGCATCCAGCACGGTCCGGCGCCTCGACGGAGAACGGGTTCGGCAGATGATTGTCACGACAACGTGCGTGCGGTGCGCGGCACGCGTCGCCCGTTCGTCTGGCGAGCACTTCGCTCCGGGCCGCCTGTCTCTGGCCTGCGGTCGTCACGCAGAAGATGCGCGGTGCAGAGTGTTACGGAGGCGAAGTTTGTAGTTGGCGTGCGCATTCAGGCGCAGTCAAGATCATGGGTGGCGTTGCCTTGCCTGATTGTTTTTATCCTCTAGCGCGTAATGGTCGTTACGGGGCTTGCCCCCCCTTCGGATAACGGTGACGGTCGTACGTAAGGGGGAGGGCTTGGACCCCCCTTCCACGTGCTGGTGCTCGCGCGCCTGGTATGGCAATCGCAGCGCACCCCCGCCCCGACTTGCCTCATACCGCCCAGTCATTAGGCGCTGCTTTCTCTGCGTCCATCTTCGTTGATGCCCCGATCGCATGCGGACAAGTGGGTATCGGAAGCCATGATCGGCTGCCATGATTGGATCGTCGTTGCATCTTCTGGGCTTGCCGTCGGCATGGAGGAGGGGTCTGAAAGGGCAGAGCTCGGATGGGCCCTTGGGTAGCGTCCGCATTTTTTTCAGCCGCGTATGGGCGAGAGGTGGACGGGTGGACTCGGGTTCTAAGGCGCGTCAGGGTAGAGTGGGGACGAGGCTTTGATTACGGTGGACGATCAGACCCGTGGCTCTCTTGTGCACATGGCGTGCCGATCTTCAGAGAGCGGCCCAGTGGTGTCGCGCAGGCTAACGATTCTGCAGCTTCAGTTTCTTGAGGTCCCGTCGTGCGACGCCTTGCGCACGCAGCCAGAGCGAGTACGCCAGACGATGCCCGACGCTCACGAGTTCTCTGGGCCTCGCGGGTCTCGGTTCCCCGAGGATCTGCGGCACAGAAGCGAGGCGGATTGTGAAGAAGAGGGGGAAGAAGGGGAGGCGGCAAGTTTGAGGCCGGCCCCTGAACATAACCCCAGGACCTCCGCATAGGCGTGCGAAGTGTTCCAGAGCGCCGCAACAGCCCCGAATATGCCAGCAGGCTGGAGAAGCGAGCAGGAAACGAACGAGTATAACATCAAGGATCAGGAAGAGCAGGAGGGGGAGCAGTGAGGGAAGATAGATGATAAGGACCAGGAGCACGAGGGATAAGGGAACATCTAGGAGGAGGAGTTTGAGGAGGAGGTGGAGGAGGAGGAGGAAGAGGAGGCGGAGGGAGCAGGAGGGAGAAGCCGGAGGAGGCGGAGGGAGGAGGAAGCAGGCAGCAAGATGAGAGAGAAATTGTGGACTTGAGTGGAGGGAGATGAGGAAGGATGAGGCAGGAAAAGAGAGGAGAAGGGAGGAGGGGGAGGAGGAGAGATGATGAGGAGGAGGAGAGAGCAGGAGAGAGGAGGATGATGAGGAGGAGGAGGAGTAGGAGGAGGAGCAGGAGGAGGAGGAGGAAAAGGAGGAGGAGGAGGAGGAGGAGGAGGAGAGAGGAGAGAGAAGAGAGGAGAGAGGAGAGAGGAGAGAGGAGAGAGGAGGAGGGAGGAGGGAGGAGGGAAGAAGAGCGCCAGCAGAGGGGCAGGACCAGCACCACGTCTTCATCATCGGCGACTGGGGCGGCCTCCCGGCCGACCCCGAGATGGGGCAGACGGAGCCTGTGACGGCAGACCATCGGAAAGACGGTTTTCACAAGGCGTTATTTGTTATGTTTTCTCGTTTCTCTCTCTCTCTCTCTCTGTCTCTTGTTGTTGTTTGTTTCTCTCTCTCTCTCTCTCTTTACCTCTTTGCATCCATGTGTGCCTCTCCCTGCCCATCTGCGCTCCCTCTTCCTATCTCCGCCCCACCAGAAACGTACAGAAACACGTCTTGGGGTTTGGGTCGGAGGAGGCGGAGGAGGTAGCAGGAGGAAGGAGAAGTGATGATGAGGAGAAGGAGGGAAGAGGAGAAGGGTGTGTGTGGCCATCACTCGTTGCTTCGGCTCCACGTCTTCTGTCGCTCTTAGTTGCGTCTGGTGGCGTATCGTTTTGCTGGGGAGTCGTCCTCGATGCCAACGTTCCGCGGCTCCCTCAGGAGGAGGGGAACGTTTTTGTTTTGCTGGACGATGTCAGGTCACCTGATTCAAGATGATCGAAAAGAATCTGAGGGGGGGGTCTTACGAAGCCCTGGAGGTCTCCTCATCCTGTGTTCCGGCCCCTCCTCTGCCCCCTCGGGATGGCACAGGAGGAGAAGGGGTTATTCTTTCAGCGGCATTATGTGGCGTCATCATGTTCCAGAGTGGTTTCAGGGGCTCAGTGGTCTCAGGAAGTTGTGGAGGGCATGGGGGAGATTGTGGAGGGTGAGGTGAGTGGGACATGTGGGAGGAGGAGGAGGAGGAGGAGGAGGAGGAGGAGAATTTGGTACCACTCCCATGGTCACCGTGTCTCTGCACGGGGGCGTTGTGCCTAGGCCATGAATCGTTGGCGGCTCTGTGGAAGCATAGGGTCTCTCAGACAAAATGTCAGGAGCAGGGATCGGTGCTTCTGTGAGTCCTGGGTTGCATGAGCTGTCGAACCGGCCAGGTGCGCTCATGTTAGTTTGTGCTCGAGCTAGGTCCGACAAAGGCCCAGCGGCGCGGCATTCCAGTGCGTCTGCTACATACCCGTTTTTTTCTATCCCATTCTTTTTTAACGGCACCCCAGCCACGATTCCATTGTCGAGTGATGCAGCATGGGCGCGAGGGCCAGCGAGCCGTTACTCCAACGTGCAGCCACTCCCTAGTTGCATCCGTTGGCCGGTTTGCATTCTGCAGATCTGCATGCCAAGCATGCGTAAAGTATGCATGCCCAACACAACACATTACGAGTGTGTCCATGTTGAGTCTGCCCAGGCCTGCCTGTCTCTGTACGTGCGTTGCTCCCACCTCGTCCTTCCTCCCGGCTCCTTCCTCATACCTTTACGCTGATCTTGAAGCTGTTGCAGCTGTCACGGGGTTCGGCACGAACATGGGCGAGGTGCTCCAGTGCCCGTCCCTCCTGTTCACTGACGCTGACATTCGCCAGAGTTTCCTCGCGATGGACCTGAAAACGATGCAATCTGCTGTGAACACGGTGTGCACCCCGCCCCCTGAAGCAGCTCCCAGAGCCCCTGAGCTAGTTCTTGAGGAGGAACACCAGCCCTGGGTCTGCATTATTCCTCGACCAGATGGCAATGAGTGTGGTGAAATATTCCTCACCCGGCGTGCGTGCTTGCCACGGGCACAAACGGTTGGCATGTTCTGTTACATTTTCCCATTTCTGCATCTTGTGCGGTAAATTCTACGCTAGCCGGCGGTCTGCCGAGAAGAATTTGGCATTTTCCCTCAGTAGCAGCGGTGTGTGTTCTATGAGGTTGAGTGCTGCTGGCCGGGATCACCTCCTCCCTCCGCCGTACAAGTGCGTGTTGTGCTCCCTGGAATTCCCGAATGCTGAAGAGGCCCGCGCGCATTGTCTCTTCCACTTCCCTCATGATCTCGCACAGCGTGCGCACGGTGGCATCGTGGAGATCTGAGTGGTGTGTAGCGTATCGGTTCAAGTGTTCTGTTCCCCATCAACGAGCGAATCGCTCGATCGCACTATGACCGCGGTGACGGGCAGCGAGGCTTGGAAGGCCATGTTTGAAAATGCCGCCTCCTCGGTCGGGCCCGAGGCCCGAGCCGGTCGCGAAGGCGACCGCCGTGGCGGCCGGCGAGTCCGGCGACACGGCTGCGAAGGCCGACTTCGCTCTCAATCTGAGTGTCATCAACGCCCAGCAGATGAGGATGGTCCTTGTCATCCTCGCCATGAACCTCGCGTTTCCAGTCTCCGGCGAGCCCTACTGGGTGCTCGAGGCTTCCAAGGCCAGCTACACTGCGATGACGACGGGCAAGAAGGGCAACGGCAAAGCCCCCCCTGATGTGTACACTTTCATTGGATTTGTGCTGCTGCTCACTATAATCACACGACGTCTCCTCAGCAGAAGGAGAAAATTGACGCATTCATCAGTGGCCACGGCGTGGAGACCAAGCGCGCCCGGCGGGACATCCGTGCGTGCCGGACCGAGAAGATGTTCGATTCGTCCATGACATGGCTGTATGTCCAGGCGCCTGCCCAGATTCTTGAGATCGTGGCTGACCCCCTTGTTGACAAGTTCGCAGCTGTGGAGCATGCTGGCCAGCGCCAGGCAGGGCATTTCGAGTCACAGGGCCAGAAATTGTTGAATCCGCAGTGATTGAGTGAGTGCCTTTTTTTCCATGTTGTCATGCATGTGTGTTCTTGTATTATCCTGTCCCTTCCCCGCCCCTCCCGTTCGCCCCTCCCTTTCCCTGCCCCCCCCCTTCCCCCTTCCGCAATGAGAGCGCAGTGCCCTGTCAGTCGGCGCGGTCGCCGGCAATTCCATATGTTCATTTTCTTCCGTCGGCGCGACGCTGGCAATTCCATATGTGATATTTCATTTGATACATTCAGACCGTGGCGTGGCGGGCTGTGCTCTCGGGCGTTCGGGGTCGCGCGCCCTCGTCCCGAACCCCGCTGGGAACCGCCTTCTGCTGGCCCCTCGCCTCCCGTCCGGGAGGGTTTTCGACTCCTGCGAAAATTCCGGGGGGCTGCGAGGCTGCCGGGGCCTATTTGTGAGAAGGCGATCATACGAGTCGCATCCCCCAGGCTGGCTGTCCATCTGCGTTCATGCTGTCTGGAGCCGGCCCAGTGGAGGTCTTACCTTACTTTACCTTACCTTCCTCAACCTGCGCTGCCACCTTTTGGTGTTCGCTCCACTGTTTGTGTTTTTGCTAGAATTCTTCGTTTTCCCTCGCTAACCCCCCTCTGGGTGCTGCCAGTTTCACAACCGTTGCCGGTTTCGCGAGGTCCCGCTGAGTGCGGTGCTCCGCAGACCCAGACGTGATCTTGCCTTCCCTGGGCGTCGCCAGCAGCATAGTTGACGCCTCTGTCATGACCCGCTTCGAGGTTCAGCGGGGTGACTATCCCAGACAAGACATAGTTTTACCCCGGGTGCTGCCACAGGCGCTCCCATTACCATTGTCGTGAGCTGCGTGGCGTTCCAGCAGGGCTCGGCTCCAGCAAGACCCAAACGAAACCTCTCCGTTTTTGGGGAGTTGCCCTTTGCATCATTTCCGCCACCTTCGCGAGCCGCTTGTAGCTCCAGCGGACTGCGGTGCCACGGATACCCCCAAACAAGGAAAACGGAGAACGGGACCGCATTTCTCGTTCTTGTGAGTGCCGCCGCCTGCGCCGCTGTCGTAACGTTTGGACGTTGATTGGGTTTCAAGCAGACTGCGTTGCTAAAGGGACTCACGCGAGACCTCGCCATCATGGGTGCTGCCAAACGCGCAACGGACGCCAACGTTTGCTCCAGCGAACACGTGCTACGGGGACGACCATACCCCGCCTTGGTATGTCTTGAACGCGTAATTGCTGCCACATTCCTGAGCCCTTGGGAAGTCCAGTTGAATGCGCGCGAGGGAGGTTGATTCTGCGCTTCAAGTACGGGTGAGGGCTGGTCAAGGACGTCGAAAGGGAAGTCGCGCACGTGGCCACCACCAGTTCGCCACGAGGAGGATGTGGAGCAGGCGACCCGTAGCGATTGCCCAGCGTTTCGGCGTTAGTTGGCCAGGTGTGCGTGTGCCCACTTGGGCAAGTATCAGGACGACCTTCTCAGATACTACAGGCCCATGGGTCACGAGAGTGGGATAGATGGTTTAAACGCGGCGCGTCTGGTTCTGATCCAACCGCCTAGGTCCAGTTCATTCGTTGCGCGCAGGCACCAAGTCACGTCCCTCTTCAGGGTCCTGACGTCCGCCACGAGGGTCATCGCCAAGGCTGGCTTCAGTGTCGCCAGCAAGTTGGACGGGCTTTGGCTGACCTGCGCGTCAAGATTTTCGGGGCCACGACGACGACAGACGACGTGGTGGTTTGGGATTTGTGGCCAGCGATTATCCCCAGCGGGCCTCCGCGGACCCGACGGCGTGTCTGCGAAAGTTTAGCCCTCCGTGCGAAGCTGCGTGGGGGGAGGAAGAGGCTGGCGGGCTGGGGCGGCCTCGCTAAGGGCCTGTATGACCAGCGGCGAAACCCCCATGCGCCCAGACGGGGGCGCTTGCGTCCGTTCTGAGTGGTGTAGCCGCCTAGGAACGAACATGTCCGCTTGAGGCATGTGATGAAGCAAGAAAACGAACATTTCCACATCGCATCGCATCTTGTCCTCCCCGCAGTAACTACAGTCCCATCTTTCCCCGCATCTGCGCCGCATCGCCTAGCGGTTGCTTCCCTTTCGTGTGATTCCTGTTTCGTCGTCGACCTCATTTGTTATCCTTCGCTTCGGAGTGCCAGAATTGCCTCATGCGTCGGCCTCACTGGAGCGTTCGGCGCGGCGGTTTCCCTTTGAGCTTCCGCGCAGTGCCGCAGGACATATTTGTTCGTTCGTTTCCACACCACCAACTGATTTGCATGGGCCCGTTGGTCTTTCAAGCTGATCATGATCAGTTATCCTCGTGACTGTGTCAGTGCGGACGCATCGCCCCTCCAAAATGAATCAGTGGGCGAATTCCTCTGACCATCTTGGGCTCAATTGGGGCAACTAGGAGCAATCGTTGGCCATTTCGAACCTTCCAGAGGCCCGCGACCGGGCCTGACCAGACACACGGGGATGTGATCGGGGGATAAGTGTACCGCTCCCCGAAGGGAAGACACGTTGGAATAACCGACACTCCAGGCCCAAAAGTGTTGGTTTAATTGCTCTTCTGCGGGCAGCCGCCCGAAACGTTTGACCGCTCAGAAGACAGGGGGGATTTCTGGGACGCACCCCAAGGGAGCTATCTGGACGCACCCCATCTCGATGATGGACGCCTCACCCCATCGTATTTCCCAGGACGGCCACAATTTTTTGGGGGTCGACACATGTCCCCCCTGTTATACTTCGCGTCGCGGACTGACCTCCTCCTTCCTTTTCGGCACGAGCGAAATGGGCACGGAAAAAAATGGCGCGATGCCAAACAACAGTTTTTTCATTTCGAACATGACACGCCGCGGCTTGTGCCCATCTGAGACAGAGGGCCGCCCGCCCAGCAGCGACCGCTGTTGGCTTGGGACAACACTTGTTGTTGGGCATCGTGCCCTTTTTTCCGTACAGTCGGGGCGCTGAAGAAGGAACCCCTTTTCGTCTGGGAGGGGCTCCGTGTTCTCTTAGTTGTTTTACAGCTTGCCTTGGGGGAAGCGAAGTTTAACCTATGGGAAAAAGGGGCCTCGTTCCTGGCGGAGGAGGAGGAGGAGGAGGAGGAGGAGGAGGAGGAGCAGGATGAAGAGGAGGAGGGAGGGGGAGGGAGGAGGAGGGAGGGAGGGAGGGAGGGAGGGAGGAGGGGGAGGGAGGGAGGGAGGGAGGGAGGAGGGAGGGAGGGAGGGAGGGCGTCCAAGCCTTAAGCGCGCGTCCGCCCGCCGCCGCCGTGGTGGCGTCCGCAGCGGGAGTTCGTGGCCGGCCTGGACGACGTCGCGCAGCTCGCGGTCCGCCGCGGCTCGCGGCGGGTGCGGCGGATCCCCCCGGCCGGCGGGCACGGCCAGGCCGGCAGGGACAGGCAGGAGCCCATGTCTCAAGCAGTGGCGAAGCGTCTTGGCGTGCCGGCCTACCAAGGAATGCTCCAAGAATCTTTTTTGTGGCTCCCACGAACTGTGCTCAGAATATTCCTGGATGGGAGCGCCTTGTTTGAACTGATCGGGCTCACATTCTGAGAACATTGTTTTTGCGCTTAGAACAGTTCTGGGCTCTAAGAAAATTGCGTGGTAGGCTGGTAGGCCTATAGGAATGCCGGGACGGTCGGTCCCTGTTCAACAGATCCCGCTCGCGTTGTGAAGTTCACGGCGATCGAGAAATGGGGACGAAAAGCAGGGATACACATTTTTTCGTCGCGGCGCGGCAGAGGCAATCCTCTCGCGCGCTCCAGTGGTCGGGGCGGAGCGTACTGATTGTCCCGCTGCAGGGGAAGAGACGGGGCAGAGGGCGGCTGCGGAGCAAGGGCGAAATGGGGGAGGGCGCTCACTGTGCGAAGATGTTCGGCAGGAGCGGACAGTAGAAGTGTGGACACAGATCGACCGCATGTTCTGATCATTAGGGACATGGTTCGTTGTCGGCGTCTCCGCGGGAGGTGCGGCCGCTGTCGGTTTTGGGCAGCCCCAGTTGTGGGGCATGATGCCAATTTTTCATAGCGGGTGTCCAAACAAACCGTTCAACACAACAACAGGCATGAGCGCAGACCCTTATTCGGCGTGGTTGTAGTTAAAAGCGCCCAGGGTGTTTTTTGTTGATGCCGTTTTGCATTCTGGGCCTCTTGACAAGCTACAAGCGCTCCGTTGTTGAAAGCGTGTTCAGGACAGTCGCTGTGGACCATTATTTGTTTAACGTTTGGTGTTTTCTGGTCGAAGGTTGTTCCTGGTCGTCCCTGCTGTCTTCGCTCCTGCTTTTTCGTTTCTGCCGTCGCTTTCGATATCGGAGATCAAAGCGGGAACGAGAAACTCACAAACAACGTTTCAACACTGGTCTTACACCTGCCCGAAAAAAGCCCGGAGGCCCGACAACCCCAGGAGGGGCAATCGGCCACCGGGACCGGAAGCCCGACGCCCCAGCCGGCAGCGAGGGCAAGAGAACAGCAACAGGGGCAATGGGATATGGGGGGGACTGCGCGCCAGGAGAAGGAACTGAGGACGTCGTAGACGGCGATGTCTAACATTTCTAGCCAACTAACCTAACAACGCTTAAACAACGTAGGTAACAACGCAACAAAAGCTATTCATGTTTTTAGCGTTTTTAGTGTTCCTGAGGGGACCTCCAAACACCACAAACATGACTCCTAGCACGCCGAGGTAGAAGCAGTGGAGAAAACGCCCTGGGCATATTTAAGAACCCAGCTGTTCGGACTTAGATGTTCTTTTATAGTGGACCCCAGGGCCGCCAAAAAGTTGCTCGGGATGAAAACCGGTTTTGGAGACAGGGTTGAGATTCTCTGGGGGCCGAGGTTGAGAGACTAGCGTCGTCCGGCATTTGGCTCCGCATCTTCTCTCTTTCTCTCTCTCTCTCTCTCTCTCTTTTGTTGCACCCTCTCCCCCCTCCTCCCTCCCCCCTCCCCCATCCCTGAGATCCTGGCGTCGCAGTTTTTCACACGGGGCGACTTCGTATGGACTTAGACCCGTCAGCCCCCAGCCCTGGCGGATCGATCTGGCTGAAATGCTGCACAGAGTTTGGTTCCACAGCTCCTGTTGTGTTTGCGATGCTTGATCCCCGGGAGCATCTGTTCGCTCGTGCCCCCTCCTGCCCCCTCCCTCTTCCTCGTCCCTGCCCCCTCTGGAGGCGGGCTTATCCAGCCTCCAGTTCCCCCCCGGCCGTCTCCTCCGACGTGGCAAAGATTCGCCACGTCGGCCCCAGGGACTTCGACCACTTCCCGTGGACCAGATTCTCATCCTGAGTACTTTTCTCATTGTCTCGCGGCTAGGAAGCGGCATCCACATACCGAAAGCGACGAAATAATGGCCGCCAGCATGTCTTTGCCTCGCCCAGATCTGCGGGTCCTCCCGATCCCCGGTCCCTCCTTCCATCCTCCTCCACGGCCACTTCGCCAGACCCGCCGGAGTCAAAGGAGACTCCCGCCTCCTCCCCTCCAGCGCGTACGCGGAGGGGGGAGGCGGGGCAGCTAGTCGTGGCCTCCGTGGGGCCCCCGAGGGGTGAGGGTAGAGCGGGTGTTTTGCCTTGGGCAGTCGAATGGATGGGGTGGAGAAGGGCGCCCTCTTCAGGCATCCAATTCCCTGGCGAACATCAAGGCTGGTGTTGTCTTGTCGGTTTTGGCATCTGCGGGCCCTTCATTGGGCCCCAGGATTGTCAAACACATCTTCCAGGGCCTGGCCCCGTGGAATGGGTCGGAATTTCTGGGGACCCCGCATTGAATTGAACCCGGCGCGACCGCGATTTGGCGTCGTCTTCTTCCTTGCGTAATTCAAAACAGTTCTAAGCAATACAAAGGAGTGCATTGCAAAGCATGGTTTGGCATTGCGTTGCGCTGCTCGGCATTATGTGGCGCTGCTTGTCATTGCTTGGGTTCGTTGCTCGGCATTGCTTGGATTTGTTAGTATGTTGCTGTTTCGTTGCTCGACGTTGCTTGTCATTGCTTTACGTCGCATTGATTTGCGTTACGGTGTTGCTTGGCAATACGGTGCGTTGCTTAGCGTTTCTTGGCATTGGTTGGCATTGTTGTGTATTGTCGTTGCTTGTGTTACTTGTGTTAGTTTGCATTCTTGCTTTGGCATTCGCATTATTTTGTATGACTTCAATCGTTCCCTTACCTGTACTCACATTAGCATTAGCATTAGTATAATTCCTTCCTCACTTGGCAATAGCAGTCATTAGCATTGCTCCTTTACTTTGTATCACTTTACTCAAAGTATTGTTTTTTTTGAGTGCTTGTCACTGGTTTGTACTATTGCGTATTAATTGGCATTGCTTGGCAATGCGTGTGCGACCGTGTTTTGCATGTTTTGTCAGTGATCGGCATTGCTTGTTCGTCACTGGTTTGCATTGCTCTCCATTGCTGGGCGTTGCTTTGCATTGCTTGTTTGCCACTTTTTTCACTTCTTTGTTAGTGCTTGGCATTGCTGAGCGTCGCGCGGCATTGCACGGTCGACCCTGGCGAACCTCGGGGAGTGCCAGCAGTGAAGGGCCGCGCACCCATTGACTTCTTTCATAAGAAAGTAGAATCCTTCTCTTAGGGAAAGCCTAATCCAGAAAATAGAACAAGACATTGGATGTCTCAATCCCGCCGCTCTTCCCCCCGAGATCCCAGCGTCGCATTCTTCTAACACCAGTGGCTGTCGCCCAGATTCAGTCCCTTTGGACCTCACGGATCGATCCGACTCGAGGAATGCCGCAGAAGCATTGGGTCTTGCTCCAGTCGTGATGCCTTGGTATGTTGCGAGCATTTGTTCGCGACATCGGCTCTCATGGTCCCCGTCCTTCCCCTCCCCATACTGCTGCTGCTGCTGCTGCTGCTGCTGCTGCTGTTGTTGCCAGCCCTCGTCCCCCTCCCCAGGAGTAGGAGGCGGAATAGCAGCAGCAGCGGCAGAATGAGGATAAGGGGTGGGTGGGACAGGAGTGGCAGAGGGACGGGGGGACTGGGGAACAGGTTCGCATCGTTGGAGGTCTCAGCTTGTTGATCTCCTTCTGTTCTTCCCGAGACCTTCTTTCCCTCGGCTCCTTGCCTTCCTCTGCGGCTGTAGTGTTGCGAACACTTTGAGCTTTATGCGCCGCGCGATGGCGTCATACAGTTCTTAATGTTTTGATGGTTTTGAGCGCAGGATGGGCAACCTGAAGGGTGGGGGAAAGGGGCCTGCAGGGTGCGCCCTGAGGTGGGATGCCCTGTCTTCCTGACGCCCTGGGGCGTGTGGGTGGATGTATAACCCCTGCATTCGCTTCGTCACAACATATGCGTCGCCTTGCGCACCTGTTAAAGCAACGCCTCATAACAGCAGGTTCGGTTTCGCCCTGATCATCATTCATTGCACGAAGAGGCTTCCAGCGGAGGTGTTGCCTCCATTTCTTCCAACCTGTGCACGCATGTGCTTTGCACGAGCAAACATCTGTTAGAGGGGCTAAGGCTGGAAGCGGTCCAGACGAGACATCCCTGGGTGCATTGGGCCTCCTTTCCATCGCCGTCCATCAGGTTCCCTCCTGTCCCCCCGCCAATCCCGCACCCAGCGATCCTCTGGGACCCGGGTCCCGCTGGCAAGAGGGCATCACCCTCTTTGGCGGCCTCGCCCACACCTGAGATCCAACCTTGCGGAAGAACACAACGTCGCGAGAGATCACGAACTGGAGCTCCGGACCCCATCCCCTCATTCTGCTACGGTGTTTCTCGAGACGGATCGATGCGAGATGGCCTGGGCCCCCGAGCGAGAACGCCCCGTGTGCGAGGACTTTCTTTGCCTCTTGTGCGCTCCAGCTCCTCCCCGCCCTCCTCGCCTTTCCACCCGCCTGGAACAGCTGCATACTTCAAACGGCGATCACTGATCAGCAGGGGAATGTGACACATCTTTCCCTCCTCGGTCCTCCAGCCACGCTGCAGCCTGCTCTCAGTAAGATTACGTCTGTGGCTCAGGCACTTAAGGGAGAAAATTGAGGACGATGGCGAGGATGGTGATGAGGGGGATGGAGCAGGAGGATGAACAGGAGCAGGACCCAAAGATCCAGGCGTCGCGTGCCGTCACAGCGGGCAAAGGGTCCTCATGGACTGATCCGGTTCGAGGAATAGACCGATAGTTTGGGTTTTCTGCTGCAGCCGTGATTTTCCGCTCAGATGTGTTTGTTCTTGCGATGTCGGATTTCAGGGGAGGAGGAAGCAGGCAGGCCTAGGATGAGGGTAGATCGGTCCAGAGCGTCTCGATACGTCCTCCAGATCCGCCGGCTCTCAGATATGTCCTACCCAGCAGGAAGCATGAGCAGGTGTTTTGTTCGCCCATCGCCAGCGGTGTCGCTGCGAGGAGGACGTGGAAGAGGTGGAGTTACAGCCTACTGTTTCTGGCAGGTTGTTCAACCTTTCTTGCTCGCGCCTGTCCTTCCCTTCCCTTTATCATGAGCCCGGAGACGCGATCCCGCAGGTCAGAGACAGGATGAGAGAGCGGGCCGCCGACATACGTCCAGAGGAGACGAGCTTGCAATTTTTGCGCTGGCAGCGTGTGGTTGTGGGATCTTTTGTAGCGTGTACGTTGCCATGAGAGCCTCCCAGCGAGAGGCTATGAAAAAAGGGAAGCAACCGCGAAAAAAGGGAAACAGCCGCTCATCGTCGGATGTCTGGGGTGATCCGTTGCCGCACGCCTCGGTCCTGGCCTCGCCGCGGCGCGGGGGCTCGTTCGGCACCGCTCGTCGCACAACACGGCCCTTCCCAGGCACGCGACGTCTTGATCCTCCTCCTCCTCCTCCTCCTCCTCCTCCTCCTCCTCCTCCTCCTCCTTCCCCTCCCCCTCCCCCTCCCCCTCCTCCTCCTTCTCCTCCTCCTCCTCCTCCGAGGCCTGCGTCTTGAAAGAGTCATGGCGGACGGCCCGAACATCCAGCGCATTGGCACGCAAAACGTATGATCTCCCTGCCTCTCGCGGAGGTGCAAAGATGACCGATCTTCGCGCATGGCGGCCTGAGTTGGAGAGGGCCCCCTCTCCAGGAGGGGAAACGCGAGGGCGCGATTGCGCGAAGACAAACGCTTGTCGCGCATGGCGGGGCGCGATGTGCGATGCGCGAAGTTTGGTCATGCAGGTTTTGCTAGTTTTGGCCTTTGGGGGGCGGGCTTTTGGGCTCCAGGAGCTCCAGATATCGACTCGGAACGAACAGCTCGCGCTGGGAAGAGGACTGGGATTTGTGATCGGTGCGACGGGCATGGGTACGGAAAGAATAGGGGCGAAGACCAATAGCAGCTCTTGCCAAGTTTGAACATCATTCCTTTTCTGTATCATCGCGGGCTTTGTCCATTTGAGACACATTCTTGCCTGCCCAACAGCGACCGCTGGCGGTTTTAGACAGCACTTGTTGTTGGGCATCGTACCCTACGTTGTTCCGTGCCCGTGGCGGGCGTACTATTCCGGGGACCCTTGCATTGGCACAGAAGTCACGGCATCCGATGTCTGCCAGTCGCTCCAGTTGCTGCTGGAAGGCTCAGTACGGGAAACGCGTTCGGTTCGCACAGTTTGGGAGCTTTTGGGCTGGCAGGGGCGTCAGCAGTTCGGCATGCATGGCCAATGCCAACGCCACATGATCGATTGACGATAACGGGGTCGATTGCGCGGACATTCGGGCGTGCGTTTCCAGCGTCAGGTCGCGAGTAAGCGCCCTCCTCTCCACACGGTGTGCAACGGTGGAGGCCCGCGTAAGCCGCGGTATAAGATCGCTAATTATGTCTTCTCGCGTAAGACCCGCTTCTTGTCGTCGCTCACATGTCGTTCAGATCACATCTGCAGGTTCCATTCCGGTCCGTCCGATACGATAGCGATATCGACTCTGGCCGGCCCGATTCGTTTCGATGTCCATTTTCGGGCGATCCGATGCGGCAGGATGCCTGCATGGCGCTGTCATGCATCCTGGCACCGCCAATTCGACTCGATTCCAGCTCAAACTTCTGCCTGGGTTGGCCTGGCTGCGGCGGTGAGAACAGTGATGTGGTCCCTCGGGACAGCTTGGCGCGCGAGCAGGCGCGTGGACCGATGCAGGCAGGAGGTTATGTGCGTCTTGGAATGTTTTCCCATGCCTTGTTTGACCGGGTGCCCAGTGGCCCTTTGTCGTCAGAGGGCGGGGTTGGGCTCGACAGGATGAGCCGTCGGAGAAGCGTAAGATTCGAGTTCGCCGGAACTCGGGTTCGCTGACGTTTTTTGACGGGTTCGTCTTGGCCTGTCACGGTCCATTGTTTGTGGGCTCACGTCAATTTTCAGATTGGGTCTCGTCATTTCCCCAAAGGCCCCGTCAAGCCATCCCGAGTCCTCCGAGCCCGAGTCTGACGTCTCTCCCGAAGCAGGACGGTCTAGGGCGGATAGATCCGGGTGTCGGTTTGCTCGGGGGTTTCGGCCAACAGACATACGTCGTGTATTTCTTCCATTTCTCGGCCTGGAAAACGGAACGCCCCCATCCACATCTGCTGTTGACCTTGACCCCACCCGCATCGATGAACCCATCACACGTGAGACGACCACCGTCAGCCGTGGGCCACAACGGATTGCGCTCCGATTCTGACGTGACTAAGGGAGTCATCACGCTGACCGCTCTGTGCCAGAGCACCTGCTGCTCGGGGCCACAGCGTGGGCGGGCGGGCGGGCGATTGAAACGCGCTCCCAGTACATCCTCAACGTCGGAGACAATTCATAGCGCTCTGCGCGATGGCCGTCGCGCCCAGGTCCGGCACGCCCGGTGCTGCTCCCAGGCCTGGGAGCACCCGAGGTGCGAACTCGGCGGACTGGCGGTCAGAGGAGGGAGTCGTCCTCGTCCCCGTCTCCCCTTCCCCGCCTCCCCCGAACAGCCTTCCCTCCCCCTCCTCGGGCCCCCTCCCCCTATCAACCTTTCCATTCCGTTTCTCTCCTTTTCCCCCCCCCCCGCGCTCCTATCTGGGCAACCAGGGGTTCCGATGCCTACGCTCAGTTGACGCAGTGCCACGCGACGTGATGAGCCTTCGAGTGTCCCAAGGCGTGGAGGGAGGCGAGGCACCGAAAGGCGGAGGCTCACAAACAATATGGACCGCGCGCTTCTAGGCAGGCTGCCTTTGAGGATTTCTACTGGGGCGGAGTGGAAGCTAGGTGCGGCTCTACCCGACTGAACATGTCCAACTTCTCCTCCCAGTGGGAGGGCATCTTCGAGAACCAGTACACCGGCGAGGGCCGCGATGCCGCTCTCTCAGGGATTGGGGTGCCGGGGGCCCCCAAACAGTCAAGGTGACCACACCGCGTGGTGAGTCAGTGGGGGATTAGGTGTCGCCGCACGGTTTGGGGACTCGGGTCGTTTTCCGAGGACGTCTCTGGCGACCGTGGCCTACCCGCGATAGGTCTTTAATGCTGCAGCCCCTCTCACCCCCAACGCCCTCGGCTGGCAGTAAAACTCTTCCTGGGAACCATGAGGAATCCTACGACTCCCTAGGAATCCATGGACATCCCAAGGGACCCTTAGGAACCCGTACGAACCCCCGCAGGGGCCGCCGACGCGGAGACGAATTATTTTCCAATATTGTGCTCGGTCCCAATCCGTCCACAAGCCCGCGCCCAAAATTACCAGCTTCCATTATTGGGCTGGCCTCCGGCCAGTGCCGCCGATCCGGGGGGGGGGAGAGCGAGATTCCCAGGATCCCGAGGCCCTCTTGCATTGTCTAGGGGGCCTCTGGGGCCTTTCTTAGCGTCCTCTGGGGCTGTCTTGGGCGGCCGGGGCTCCGGAAGTGGAGTTTTCTATACCCCCCCTGTCCCCGGGCACCGAAAAACAGGAAATAACGTCGGAAAGATGCCCGTGTACCGAGAAACGTCGGAAATGACGTCGGAAATAACGTGCCCCCCCCCCCTGCAGAGCGAAGCTTGAGCGAGCTCAAGTCCACGCTCTCAGAAACTCACACGCCGGATCGGCGGATTATGAAAAGAGGGTGTATGAAAGACCCATCTGAGTTACGCGGTCCCCAGACCGTGCGGTGACGGACGGCGCGTTGAGATCCTTTTGGGTATCGAGGTCACCGAACGGTCCGTCACCACACGGTTTGTGAACCCCCGAGTGAGGATAATCACGGTTGGGGGCTGATTCTCATTGGTTATTTGTAATTTCTTTTTTTTGTTCGTCTCTCTACTCTGGTATCTCTTCACACATACGTTAGGGTCATCATTGTCATCGGTTGCCCGCAATCATTTTTGGCTCGCACCAGGGGTCATGCCCTGACTACGTAAACGTATCGCACACTTCTTTTCACCACGTGAGTCCCACGATTACGAATTCTCATGGAGGCTGTGCTGGCCTCGCATCCCACGCTTGTTGCTGCCTCGGCAGCAGCAAGCGTGGCGGCGGCTGTCGCGGCGGCGTGCGTGAACGGCAAGCGGCTGCATTCGACTGGCAAAGACGTCTTCGCGGACGGGCAAGTAGCTAACCTGACCAATACACAGTAGGTTTGTTTGTTGGATCCGGGGGGATCGACGTGGCAACAAGAGGGGGCCTGGGGACATGCTGTCGTTTCGCTCCGGGTATATCACTCTCTCTCTCTCTCTCTCTCTCCCTCACTCGCTATCTCTCATTCTCTCTCGCTTTCTCTCACGATGTCTTGCTTTTGTTGGTTAGATATACATGTGTATTTATATATTTCAGAGTGAGGGGGCCGAACGATCATTCATTGTCCTTGGGTGCGTGGCTGAAGTGGGGATCCGTGGTGAGGATTCTGCTTGTTGAGTTGCTGCTGTTGTTAGTTAGTTAGTTAGTTTGTTTGTTTGTTGTCGTCGCCCCACCCGCCACACACCGGTGACCCTTCCCGCGACCCACCCCGCGACCTTTCCCGCGACCCACCCCGCGACCCACCCCGCGACCCAACCCGCGACCCACCCGCGACCAACCCCGCGACCCAACCGCGACCCACCCCCGACCCACCCGCGACCCACTCCGCGACCCAACCGCGACCCAAATGCGACCCACCCGCGACCCACCCGCGACCCACCCGCCGCGACCCACCCGCGACCCACCTGCGACTCACCCTGAGACCCACCCCGCGACTCAACCGCGACCCAACCGCGACCCACCCGCGACCCACCCGCGACCCACCCGCGACCCACCCGCGACCCACCCGCGACCCACTTGCGACCCACCTTGCGACCCATCCGCGACCCTACCCGCAACCCACCCGCGACCCAACAGCGACCCACCCGCGACCCACCCGCGACCCATTTGCGACCCACCCGCGACCTACCCACATTAGTTTAATGAAAAAATCGGCGCTTGCGGCGGGCTCGACGCTCAGCGCAGGGTGATTACTGGGACGAGGTCCCAACACCCTTATCTTTACACTTTTACCAATCCCTGATCTCTTTACCCTATTACATCTGCAATTGTTTTTGATTCATCTCGGTACGCATCATGTCCTCTCCTGTATCTTCACCCGTATCTTCACCCGTGCCCAAGAAGGGCCGTGCGGACGAGGTAATCAGCGACGACGAGGAGCTGAAGGAGGTGGAGGACCCAGGCAAGGTGACCATGGGAAACATCCAGAAGCTGTTGCAGGCCGAGCTGAAGCCGGTGAAGATGTCTGTCGATAGGTTGTTGGGGGACTTGTCTACATTCAAACGGGAAGTACGCAAGGAGCTCGGAGAGATGGGATTGCGTTTGACCGGAGTGGAGGAGAAACACGAATCTCTCCAGAACGAGCTTAACAAGCTCAAGGGGGACCTCGATAGCATCCAGATCAGCAACACCAGCACGGCAGCGCAGCAGGCTCAGAACGAGAACCTGACGGTGGTCTTCGGCAACGTCCCCAACGCCGACACCATCGACAAGGTCAAGGAATGGTTGCACAAGCGGTGCAAGGACACGGGCGTCCCCGCCCCCCCGGACCCATTCTTCAAGGGGCAGGAGTTCAAGAAAGTGGCATTTGTCAAGTGCCCTTCTATTGCGTATCGGGAGTCGTTTATTTCCATCATTCGGCAGTCTCCCCAGGGGGCCTCAGGACAGCCTTGGGCAAAACTTGACCTGCCCCTGGGTCCCCGCACGGTGGAGTCAGCGCTCTTCGCCTTCAAGCGTCTGTTGCTCCAGTGGGGCTACGGCAAGAAGGAGGTCGAGGTTGACACCCAGAACCACGTGCTGAAGGTGGCGGGCGAAGACATCGTCACGGCGGAGGTGCGCGACTACACGCTGCAGCTGAAGTGGTGCAGCGGCGAGTGGGAGAAGTGGGAGGACCTCCAGCACTCCCCAGAGCTTGCCGCCCTGACGTCCACTGTACAATCGCGGCTCGATAGGGCCAAAGAGTACACCTCGGGCTCGGGCAAAGGGAAGAAAGGGAAGGGAGATGCAGCCATGTAGGAAGCAAGGCAGCCCATGGGTAATTCAATCGAGTTTTCGCCCACCGAGAAGTGCATCAACGTATGTACTTGGAATGTCGAGGGCCTCACAGACATCAAAGTTGAGCAGATATGTAATTATATGCGTTTGAATTCGACGGATGTGGCATTTCTCCAAGAGACGCGGCGGAACAAGTCAGATAATTTCGTTACAGACTCAGGGCACGAAATCTTTCTTTCTGGTTCTAGCACAGAAGGCAAAGAGTGGGCAGGAGTAGGCTGCATAATCGCCCCAAGCTTCCGGAAATCAGTGATTGGCTTCCGGCCCGTCGGGGGCAGGATCGCAAGTTTGAGGGTCAAATCTGCTACAGGTCCGGTCGCGTTCGTCGTGGTGTACGCCCCGCGCAACCTACGCCCGCTTGAAGAAAGGCTGGCTTTCTACGACGATCTGGAGCTATGCGTGGATAACATCAAAGCTGGCGAGGGCAAGTACATATTGGGGGACTTGAACGCGAGACTGGGCAAGCGCAGGCCGGGGGAGGAAAACGTCATGGGAGAGCATACCTTCGGCAACGAGGCCCGGCATGTGGTCCCAGTGCCCAATAGGGAGATGCTCCTCGAGTTCTGCTACAGCCACGAGTACGTCATCGCCAACACACGCTTCCAGCAAGACCCTGACAAGCAGGTCACATACTACGAGCTCCAGGCTACGCCGGTTGACCCCATCACTTCGGAGTCGTTCGCGATGATAGACTTCTTGCTTGCTCCGGCCGAACGCCTGAGCAGTGTGCGCAAGTTGCGCAGTGACATACTTGCTTGTATATCTTCACACCACTTTCCCGTACTGGCTCAGATCCGGCTGGTGCGGGACAAGGGCGAACGGCCTCCACGCCGAGCCAGACGTGACTGGAAATCCTTGCAGCACCAACACGTGAAAACAACCTTCCTGAGCAACGTCCGGGCGCGCACCGGCGAGCTCGAAGGCGCCTCGAACGAAGAAGCTGCAGACGCTTGGGGGACTCTGCGCCGCAACATTTGCGGAGCAATCGAAGATTGCATCCCCGCAGAAGCCAGGAGCCGACGCCGCCCGTGGATCAGCGGAAACACTCTTCAGCTGATAGAGCAACGGTCCCTTGCGCGACAGAGTGGAGACATCGGCAGAGAAAAATCGTTAGCAAGAGAGATCAAACGATCTGCCCGCAGAGATCGCGCAGCGTGGCTGCGAGATGTTGCCGCTCAGGGGAACTGGGGTGCGATCCAGAAGCTTCGCAGAGGCAGAAAGGTATTGCAGACGCGCTTGAACGCCGTGGACGGCATGACTGTCGGCACCGAAGAGCGGGCGGAAACCTTCGCAGAGTTTCTGGAGACAGTGCAGTGGAGGGTCCGGCCAGCAGCAGTACTCCCTGAAAGAGACCTTCCATCTCATTTGCCATTGCCGGTTGTCGAGTCGCAGTTCACCACCGCGGAGCTCCGCAAGGCTATCCGCAAGATGGCCAGCGGGAAGAGCGTGGTCGACGGAGACGTTCCCATAGAGGCCTTCAAGGTGCTGGCGACATCAACTGGCACAGACTTGGGTGCTCTTCTAGACATCATGAACCAGTGCCTTCGCGATGGAGCAGTGCCAGCAGAGTGGATGACATCTCGGGTGACCATGATATATAAGAAAAAAGATCCTGGCTGCATGGAAAACTACCGCCCCATCTGCCTCACCTCTGTGGCGTACCGCGTCTTCGCGAGCATGATCAAGCAACGCTTTCTGGACGCGGACTTGGACGAGCGTCTCTGGCCGACCCAGTTCGGCTTCCGGGCCAAGAGGAGCACAGAGGACGCGATCTACGTAGCACGGCGGCGCATTGAGCTCGCCTGCGCCCAGAAAAACGGGGCGGTGTCCTTGCTTGCGTTAGACTGGAGGAAAGCCTTCGACAGCGTCGGCGTAGACGGCATGATATCGGCCCTGGAACGTTTCGGCATTCCTGTGATGTACAGAGAGCTGCTGCGCAGCATCATGATCGGACGGAACTTTTTCGTCGACGACATGGGCCGCCAGTCAGCCACTCGCCGCCAGAATTCTGGGATCTCCCAGGGGTGCACCCTGAGCCCGCTCCTGTTCATTGTTGTCATGAGTGCACTAATGGAAGACGCAGTGGCGCTCCTGGGACCTTCTGCAGCAATGGCGCACTGCAGCGGGGATCTCGCGGACATTGCTTTTGCCGACGACACGTTGCTCATCGGTTCCAACGCGGCGCACGTGGAGGAATTCGCCTCGGCTGTGGCACAGGCTGGACAGGCGTACGGCCTCGAGCTTCACCTGGACAAGCTACAGCTGCTGCAATGCCGCACAAACCGACCTCTTCACATATCCGGACGCGCGCTGGAGACCGAGGATGCGCTTATATACCTTGGCACCAGTCTGACGCCAGACGGCAGAATGTCTGGGGGACTCACAAGGCGCATCGGGCTGGCACACGCGGCCTTCCGTGCAGTCCGGCAAGTTTGGAGACATTCGTCATTATCCTTGCAGTGGCGGTTGCGCGTCTTCCACGCGCTCATCGAGTCGAAGCTGTTATACAGTTTGGCCGCAGGGTGCTTCACCAAGGCAGATCTTCGCCGATTGGACGGTTTCCAGGCGAGATGCCTGAGGGTTATCATGAAGATTCCCAGTGCGTACATTTCTCGGATTTCCAACGCCTCGGTGCTCCAGAAGGCCGGGGCAGAGCCTGCCTCCGCGCAGCTGCGGCGAAGGCAACTGCGCCTCCTCGGGAAGGTCATCCGGCAGCCGGAGGGGTCTGCAATGAGAGACGTATCATTCTGCCCGGGCAGATCTCTCCGTCCAGCAACGGACCGCTACATTCGGGTGCGCGGGAGACCCCGGACAGAGTGGATCCGGACCGTTCTGCCGGACGGGTTGCGCGTCGCGGGCGGCTTCCAGCAATTGACAGACGCAGCCATCGACGAGCAGCACTGGCGCAAGATCGTCAAGGAGTCTTGAAACTGCCCTTCCCTCCTTCTTCCTCCCCCCAAAAGTGTTGCCGGCCGCAGTGTCGTAGAAGTCTCGCCCGCGTTTCCTCCGTCGCCCCCTTGTCGCTCGTCCCTCCTCCTCCCTCCCCCCTGGCCTCGCCTCTCGTCCCCGCTCGTCGTGCGTCCCTCCCTTCCCCCCGTGCGTCATTTCCCCCTCCTGTTGTAGCACCGCAGATCTATGCGTGCACATCCACAGCCTCGTTCCGCAGCTTGCAGGACGGATGCCGTCAAAGACGGGGCCCCGGTCCATGCCCCGTGCACGTGCCCATGGGCTGCCCCAGCCTACGGCTTGACCTGACCTGACCTGCGGCGGGCTCGATGCATAATTGGAGGAACTTTGGCGCCTGCGATGGGATTCTCCATAGTCTCGCAAACTGCCGACATCCCCACCGCCCCCTCACTCGACTCGTATCGTATCCGCATCTGCGGGGTAAGAGTGGACCCTCCCTCTTATAGCATATATATAGTTGTGAATGTGTGTGTGTTCCTCCCTCACCCTGCATATGTGTATATAGAGATATCCCCTGCGAGAGCAGGTATCGATGTACGCTTGTCTGTCGCAGCGAGTGTGCGTTTGGATCATCCCCTTGACTTGACTTCCCCACAGCCTTGCCCTCTTCCGTTCCCGTCGCCTCCTGTCGTGTGATTTGTCTGCCGATGGGGTTTACTTTTTCGCAGGAGCCTGGCGGCTGGACGTTGTTCGAGACATGGGGCCCTTGACATTTCGACCCCATCGGCCGGCATTCTATCCTGAGTAGTTGATATTGGTTGCCGTGGATCCCAACATGAAAAAACATCCCAGCCGTCTCGTTTTGCGGGCCCTGTGGTCCTTCGTTGAGTGGCAGCTTTGACCCACAATCCACATACGATATTCACATTCCCAGCGCTAACACCAGTTGTGGGTTTGTGTGTGTTGGTGGTTATCTCCTCCTACCTCGTTCACGAGGTCCCCGCTGTTCCAGATCGGGCGTGCGCGGAGGTAAACAACGAGGTCCAGCGGTGCGCTGTGCTCCGTATCGACGGGATGACCTGCTCAAATTGCAGCAACGCTGTCACCAAGGTGTTGGAGAGCCTCGAGCAAGTCAGCAGGTGCGAGGTGGATCTCATCAACGAGAAGGCCACAGTCTGGTATTCCTCGTCGGCGAAGTTCACCGCGAATGAGATCTGCTCCGAGGTTGAGGACATCGGCTTCGGCGCCACCGCGATCTCGGACGCATTCTCCCAGAGCTGCGCGGTGCTCCGCATCGATGGGATGACCTGCTCTAACTGCAGCAACGCCGTCACAACGGCTCTTGAGAACCTCGAGCAGGTCAGCAGGTGCGAGGTGGACCTCATCAACGAGAAGGCGACAGTCTGGTATTACACGTCGGCGGCATTCACGGTGAATGAGATCTGCTCCGCGGTTGAGGACATCGGATTCGGCGCTACCACGATCTCGAACGAAATTGCCAAAAGCGAGGGCGGCGGCACTGCGCTGCTGCACCTGCTGGATGCCGAGACCACCGCAGACTCCGCATCGATCCTTAGAGCCACTGCGGGTGTCGCAGACGTGATGGTGGACGGCAGCCTCATGAAGGTAACCTACGACCCCGAGAAGGTCTCGCAGACGCGTTTGGTGGCCCCCGTCGGATTACGATCCCCTGAGTCGAAGGAGGAACAGCGGCAGAAACAGACACCCTCCGAGTTCCACGCGGAGTTCTCGGACCGGCGTTGTGGCCCCCCTGGCGGAACTCCTGGCGCCGCCTTTGGCGCGCTCTCCGCGCGCTGGAGAGGAGGGGGCGTCCGGCGCCGATCCGAGAAGTGCGAGCTGACCTCCGAACATGTATGTGCATGTTGGTTGACCCCCGTCTAGGAATACTCGGGCCGGTCGAAAGGGGGTGAATCGGAGGTTGGGGGGTGAGATCGAAGTGGAACGGAGAGCCCCCCACCAGGAAATCGGTTTCGGTTTCGTGTTCGTGCGTGCCGTGCGTGCGGGCGGGGCGAAGTTGCGTGGGCGGGCGATAGGAAAGTCTTCTGTGGCTGGGCCCTGGCCGGACCAAATGATTCTCCCTCAGGCAAGCGGTGGCCCGCGGTGGCCCGCCGGTGTCCCGCCGGTGTCCCGCCGGTGTCCCGCCGGTGTCCTGGTGTCCCGCTGGTGCGAAAACGATAGTGAGACCGATGACGAAATCGATTGTGAGATCGATAGTGAGATCGATAGTGAGACCGATAGTGAGATCGATCGTGAGATCGATAGTGAGATCGATAGTAAGATGAATAGTGATACCGATTGTGAGATCGAGTGATATCGATGGGGAGATCGTTAGTGGGATCGATAGCGAGATCCAGAGTGAGATCGACAGTGCAATCGATCGAGTGAGATCGATAGTGAGATCGATCGTGTGAGATCGATAGTGGGACTGATGGTCCAATCGATCGTGAGACCGATAACGACATCGCTTGTGAGATCGATAGTGAGATCGATGGTGAGATCGATGGTGAGACCGATCGTGAGACCGATAACGACATCGCTTGTCAGATCGATGCAGAGATCGATCACGTGGTGCAATTTCACGCCGCACCGAGGCCCCTGGAGGCCGCAGTGAAGGCTCCCGCTTCTTCATTATGGTCTCTGGGGGCTCTGTTCGTGTTCGGGCCCGTCCCACCTGAGAAGGGGTACTCAGCAGGGTACTTTGTCCTCGCCGCGCCACTCCCGAACCTATTTTGGCCTGCGCAGTACGGCCTAACATCGGTCCCAGGAGCGAGCGGCAACGCAAAAATCACCACTGTTGCCCATTGCTGGCCCCCCTCTCCCCCCCGAACCTCCTTATCACCCGCAGGGTGGTCGGACAGGTAGGGAGAGGGAGGGGTACGAAATCTGCTGCATGCAGCTGGTTTCGGCCCCGGCGCCCGGCGCCGAGAGGCGCCAGGAAAATCAGCTACGCGAGCTGATTCTCAAGCCCCCCCTTTGCCATCCCCCCCCTTTCGCCCAACCCGACTCATGCGTCTGACATTTCATCGTAGGCGTGTCTGCGCAGCCGAGACATGTTAATCAACACAAGAACGCAACCTTGCGTGTGAAGCAACACTCTGTGATCCTTGGTCGTTGATTGGATGCGCAGTTTCGCTTGTTCTGCCTGGAACCCCGCCCCTATCCCTTGCCCACGTCTGCATGTGCTGCCTTTGCTGCCCTTCCTCGCTCGTTATGGTCCGAAAAGTGGCGATCGGCAGGTCAGCACATCCAACAACATCCCCCTCCCCTCCCCCCGCTGCGTAAACAAGCAAACGCGAGGTAACCATCTCCATGGGCAGTGCCTGCACTACAAGCGCCATCTCATCCCATGATGAAAACATAATCGGATCGGTCCTCCATGTCCAGACAACTGTACCCCCTGGCTGTTGAACGTCTGCGTCTCTTCATTCCCAGATTCCCGCTTGCTTCTGGCGCCCTCCTATTTCAAGTGTCGTGTGGTCCCTCCTCTTCAGAGGGCGGGCGGAAGCCCGATCTGTGGTCCACGCCCTCCTGGGCGGGATCTCTGGGCCTGCTCCCCAGGGGGCCAGTAGTCTCCTCCCGCGCCGTCTCCTGAGGGCCCTCGGCCCGCCCCGCCGCCCGCTCCCCCCGGGGGAGGGAGCCAGACCGACCCCTTACACCTTAGGCGATGCTTAAGAAAACGTAAGTGTTCGGCCAGAGTCTCGATTATTCTTAACGTTTCAATGTAAATCCTAAGATGTTGATCGAATTTTTGGGTTTTTATTCAAGTTCTTAACCATTTTGCGTGGTGTACAGGCGGCCCGGATCAGTGGGTTGACCTTGCCAGATCAAGGGTGCCCCTCGTGTCCTGTGTCTTGCGACCCATGCCTCCTGCATTTCTGCGGTAGCGTGGTCCTCAGGAGGGTCCTCCCCAATCAAGTGCGACTGTACCACGACGAGCTCCCCTCACTCTCGAGGTTCCCCTCTCCCCCATGCACTCTGTCGCTGGGCTCCCATTCGCCGGTGGAAAAACGTGTTGGGTATCCGATTTGAATCTACAGCACTCGGCGTCCCTCCTTCAATGTTTCCTCCTCCCTCCTCGGCTCCCTGACTTTGCCCGCCGCACTTCTGTGCTCCAGCACACCCTCTCGCGTCTCGCTGCACCCATAGGAGTCCCGCGGAAGTTTCCCCACAGAACGCTCAAATGGCAGGGTCCGTATGCCTGACCGCGCCCGTTGTGGCGCACCCCTCCCGCATTCCGTGGCTCCGGAGGAGCTTCACAGACAGCGCAAATCGCAGGGCCTGTGTGCGGGACCACGCCCATTCTGCAGGTATGCCCTTCACGCGCTGCGTGGTTCCAGAGGAGTTTCGCAGAAGGCCCAAATTGAAGAGTCCGTGTGCTGGACCACCCCCCCGCACCCCTCACACGTTTCGCGGCCCTCGCACGTTTCGCGGCCCCATGTGGCTCGTGTGTCTGACCACGTCCAGTCTGACATAGTTTTCACACGTTTCGTGGTCCCATAGCAGCTTCACAGAAGGCCCAAATCGCAGGGTCTGTACGCCTGGCCACGCCCATTTTGGCTAACTCCGCACACGTTTGTTGACCACATGGGAGCTCCACTGGCGATGGCCAAAATGACAGGGCTCCTATGCCTGAACGTGCTCGTTGTGGCACACGTTTCACAGGTTTCATGGGTGCACGAAAAGCCTCACAGAAGATTAAGTAGCAAAAGGCAGCGATCGCATGCGGACTTGAGACAATTTTGGCACACGCCTCACACGTTTCGTGGCTCCATAGTAGCTTCACAGGAGGCCCAAATCGCAGGGTCCGTCTGCCCCACCACTCCCATTTAGGCTAATTCCGTATATGTTTGGTACACCCCATGGGAGTTCCACTGAAGAAGGCCCAAATGGCAGGGCTCGTATGCCTGAACGTGCTCGTTGTGGCACACGTTTCACAGGTTTCATGGGTGCACGAAAGCCTCACAGAAGAAGAAGTAACAAAAGGCAGCGATCGCATGCGGACTTGAGACAATTTTCGCACACACACGCACACACACACACACAACACGCGTTTCGTGGCCCTTCATGAGCTCCGCAGAAGGCCCAAATGCCAGGGTCCACATGCCGGGCAACGCCCTTGTCTGACACACGTTTCACACGCTTCGTGGCCTCATAGGAGCCGTTCAGAAGGCCGTTCAATTCGGCACACCCTTGATACGTTTCGTTGGCCCGTAGGAGCTGCTCCACGGACCCCAAAGGCTTGGCTTGTGTGCGTGACCACGCCCATTCTGACACACTCCGCGCACTGCTCGTGGCCCCGTAGGAGCCCCACAGAAGGCCCAAATGGCAGGGCTCGGACCGCGCCCGCCCTCACACGCTTCGCGGGTATATGGGGAGGTCGCGAGTGTGTCGCGGATGGCTCGCGGGTGGGTCGCGGGTGCGTCGCGGGCTGAGCGACGACGTCAAAATAATATGCTCAGGAATCGACGCCGCGGAAACATTTTTCATCCATACACCCAGGGATGGTTCAGGCCGTTCGCCCTCCTCTGTCTAATAATTGACAGGGGGAGGAGGTGCCGGAGAAGGATCACGATGGTGATAGGGGACGTGGCAAGGGAAGAGGGAAAAGGAGCACGAGGAGGATGCATGGACGGAGGGAGGGATGATTGACTGAGTGGATGTGTTGATGTATTCAGCATTTGTTCGGCGGCTCCAAGCTGTACAGTTGGCCAGCATGCTATTCAGATCATGTCTGCGGGAGGGCTTCAGCTGACAGGCTGAAGGGGGGGGGGGAGGGGCTGGGGCAGTGGGCGGGGGTGGGGGTGGGGCAAAACGCGTCCGTAAAGGTCGGCGCGCGGAAGCTCCTCCAGTCCCTCGGCGCGGGCAAGAGTGGAGCAGGAGTTAAGCTTGCACCGCCGGACTTGGTCGCCGCCAGGTCGAGCGCAGAGTGCCTGCCTGCTGGCCTGCTGACCGCAGTGGCCCTCACCGCCGCGATCGTCTCCGTGTGCTGGGTGCTGCCGTGTGTCAAGCACTGTAACCGGTTTCTCAACAAGGAGGTCGTTCCCGGCCTCTCGGTCATGATGCTACTGCTCTGCGCCCTGGCCACGCCCGTGCAATTCTACAGCGGGCGGCGCTTCCATGTCGGGGCCTACCACGCGCTGAAGTCGGGCGTGTGGGATATGAATGTCCTCGTGTCCCTCGGCAGCGGCCTGACCTTCGCCTATTCCTTCCTGGTGATCTCCTTCGTTGTCGTGGGCAGCAGGTATTACAAGTTCCACCACTGCAAGATCCCCCCTTCGGCCTTCTTCGAGGCCCCTTCGGTGGTCGTGACCTGTATCCTCGTGGGCAAGACTCTCGAGTCCTGGGCCAAGAGGAACACCTCGCGGTCCCTGCGCGACCTGCTGAAGCTGCAGCCTCCCACGGCCCACCTGCTGACGGCAGGCGGCACCGAGGCCGAGACGGTGCCGGTGGAGCTCCTGGAGCTCGGGGATACGTTGCAGGTCTTCCCCGGGGAGGCGGCCCCCGCCGACGGCGTGCTTGCCTCCGAGGCGGGCGCGGCCGAGTTCGACGAGTCGCTCCTCACCGGCGAGTCCCGCCCGGTGACGAAGCGGAAGGGGGACTTCATCATCGGCGGCTCGAAGTGCGTCAGTGGCAGGGTGGAGCTTCAGGTGCAGCGCCTAGGCAGCCGGACCATGCTCTCGCAGATCATGGGGTTGGTGCAGAAGGCGCAGTTGAACAGGGCAAATGTGCAGCAGGTCGCGGACGCGATTGCCCAGCGCTTCGTGCCTTTTGTGGTCGTGCTTGCGATTCTGACCTGGACTACATGGTATACCCTCGTCTACCGTCTCGAGATGATCCCCTTGTCGTCCATTCTGGACGGTCGCATGAGCCAGTGGCCAGAGCTCGACCGATTCTTCTTCGTGCTGGAGCACGGCTTGACCGTGTTGCTGGTTGCCTGCCCCTGCGCGCTCGGGCTGGCCACCCCGACGGCCGTCATGGCCGCGACTGGCGCAGCGGCCAAGCACGGGATCTTGGTCCGCACCGGCGCTGTGCCCTTGGAGTTGGGCTCGAAGATCAGCAGCGTGGTCCTGGACAAGACAGGCTCGGCGGCGAGCCCAGGGGGGGAAGGGAGAAAGGTCGGGCCTCCTCAGAAGGCTGGGACATCCCCTGGCCTTCTGAGAAGGTGTCCTGAGCCTCCCCCGAAGACAAGGACAACTTCTCAGAAGGGCTGCTGAGAATCAGGAGGGGAGAAAACACACAGACACAATTAATCGTCGATTCCCAGGAAAATATGGGAAAATATGGGAAGTGGGTTGGAAGACAAACACCCAGAAAATATGGGAAAATATGGGGAGGAATTTTATTTGTGTGTATTTATTTGTGTGTCCTGGGGCCCCTTCAGAGAAGCCCCGCCGCCTTCTGAGAGGGCCGACTGCTTCCCGCTTCCTCCCCCCACTCGCCGCCGACAGGCACCCTCACGTGCGGCCGGCCCCGGGTCACGCAGGTCGCCGCCCGCTGGAGCGCAGGCGGTGCAGCGCAGCCGACGCTGCAGAGGCTCGTGGAGGCGCACCGCCAGGCCACGGGCGCCTCGGCGCGCGCGGCGCAGGAGCGGCCGACGGTGGCAATGACGTGGCTGCAGGAGCCGGCCACGCGCACGAGGGGGGCAGTCAACGGCACCGTAACGGGTACTTACTAACGGGTACTTTGAAATTGTGCCGAAAGTTGCCACTTTAGGGCCTTTTTCTTGCATTGCAGCTTTGCCCACATCGGGAAGGGTTGGGTTCGCTGGGTCACTGGCCAAAGTACCCGTTAGTGGAGTCCCCGTTTGACGGGCGGTGAGGCAGAGGCGGGCAGAGGGGGAGGACTTTTCTGAGGAGGAGCCTGCGTCTCAGCAGGCGCGGGCCTGGTCTGTGGATGTTGGGCCCGCGCCCTCCAAGAAGCAGCCTCCGTCCGAGAAGCCAAGAAGAAGACTTCCCCGTTCCACCTCTGGCCCCCTCCGCGCGCCGCCAGAGGAGCATGGCAGCGCCCCCCAGGTCGTGCTCCCGCAGACGGACGCTGCGGGGCGGCGTGCGCAGCAGCGCGGGGAGGCGGAGCGCGCGCTGTGGTGGGCCATCGGCTCCGCGGAGATGTCCAGCGAGCACCCCGTGGCGAAGGCGCTCGTCGACACGGCCGGCACGGTCTCGAGGGGCCCGCTGACGAAGCCGTGCACGTTTGAGAACATCACCGGCGTCGGGGTGCGATGCATTCTGGCCGGCCTGTCGGTGGACGTTGCTTCCGCGACCAGCGTCCTGGAGCTCTGTAGCGGCGCCCCCGCAGACGCCGGCGCCTCGCTGCGTGAGTGGGTCGCGGCCGTGCGGGCGGGAGGAGCGACGGTCGTGGCCCTCGCGGTGGAGGGCGTGCCGCTCGCGGTCGTGGCCCTGCAGGACGAGTTGGCACCGCACGCGCGCTCGTGCGTGGCGTCGCTGCAGGTCTCGGGCATTGACAGAACCCCCCTGGGGAAGGCGACTGAGAACATCTGCACGGGTTCACTCGACCTCGGCGTTCGAGAGGGCCAGTGCAGTCCCCAGCCGGTTTCGCTCGTCGACGCGCGTTTCGCCGGATGCTTTCTTTTGCTGTCGGACGCCGATCAGCTACCCCGTAGGGGTGCACTCGGGATGCGGTGCCGTGCGCACGTGGGGTTCCCCTTGATCCCCGAAGGTGTCCGGGGTGGACGTCTGGATGTGCAGCGGAGATCACCGGGTGGCCGCCCGCAGCGTGGCTCGCCAGTGCGGCATACACGAGTCGCGGGTCGTGGCGGAGGCGCTCCCGTCGGACAAGGTCACGACGGTCGAGATGCTTCGCGCCCCTGACAAGAAGAGCGGCCGGAGTAGGGTGGTCGCCATGGTCGGCGACGGCGTGAACGACGCGCCAGCGCTGGCCACCGCCGATATCGGCATCGCTATCGGGGCAGGGCACGACGTGACCGTCGAGGCCGCCGACATCGTCCTTGTGCGCTCAGATCTCCGCGATCTCGCCGCCTTCTTCATGCTCGCCCGTGACACTCTCAAGACGATCAAGTTCAATTTCTTGTGGGCGTTTATCTTCAACGTGTGCGCGCTGCCAGTGGCGGCTGGCGCGCTCTGGCCCTGGAGGGTCACGATGAGCCCCCCCTTGGCCGCGTGCGTGATGCTCAGCTCGTCGCTTTTCGTATGCCTCAACTCCCTGTCGCTGAACAACTTCAAGCCGGCGCGCATCACGTGGGAGGCCTGAGGGCGGTCCGGGCCGCAACGTGTTTCCGCTCCTTCGTGTTCATGGCATGCCTCCAGCGGGCCGGGCAGCGCGACAGCTTGGGAGGCACGCAGTTTGATGCCTGCAGCCTCGGTGCCTAGTTTGTTTTACCAGTTTGAAGCATATCCCTATCCGTGTATGTGGCATCACCTCACCTCGATGCCCATCTTCAGGATTCCCTCAGTTTCTGAGGGCACATCCCTAAAAGCGTCCTCGCTTATTACTCGCCCATCTTAGGAATAGGGATAAGTTCGAGGCTGGTTAAAAGTGGTGTGAAGCTTCTCGGGGACCCCCCCACGATGTGGTGACCACACCGGTGTAGGGATTCGGGGTCGCCGCACGGTTTTGGGACTTGGGTCGTTCTCCGAGGATGTCTCCGCCGACTGGGGCCTCCGAGGTCCCAAAACCGTACGGTGACGGACCCTGCGGTGAGGTCTATGCGGATTTCGAGGTCACCGCCGCACGGTTTTGGGACCCTCAAGCATCGGGACCTCCGGCAGATCGCCAAAGTCCCGGTTTATTGTGTTTCAGTGTGGCCTTTGGAGGCTGGCTTCGGGCCCCTGGGCTCGCAACAGCGAGTATGCTGTTGTTTCGAGCGATTCCCCCCCAAGGAGCGCCAGTACATAAATATGTACGTTCCCAATGTATGTTGCGACTGTGTAGTGTCGATGTTATTGATGTATGCATTTTACTGGCGCTGATTATTGATGCCCTTTCTTGGGCCTGTGCCTGATGTGTGTGTGTGGAACGCTGAGAATGTCGTGCCTCTCAGGGGCAGTCTTGGAATCCCGGAAGCTACTTGGGGCAGTCTTCCCGCCGTCTTGGGGCCTCTCGGGGGCATGCTGAAGGATATCTTCAGCCAACTTGGACCGTAATGGGATCACCTTGGAGAAGGTCAAAGGAGGGGGGGGGCAACTTATCGCCGCCCCTCTAGAACTCCTAAAACAGCCTCTTTCACCCCTGTTGGATCGCTCTTCGGCGTTCTTGCCTGCCTCTTGGGGCTCTCTTAAGGCCTCTGTTGAGGCTTTCGTGGGCCCTCTTGGAGCTATCTTGAGGCCTGGGAGGGTATCAGAAGGAGAAGTTAGAGAAGGTACGGTGGGGGCGTTGGTTGAGGAATGCACCCAGGATGCTGCAGACCCTGGAGGATTTCTTATCTGATGATGGCGGCGGTGATATCCATGGTCAAGCCTCGATTGGAGTTCCACCGGCCTCCAGACCCTGGATTCCTTATCCAAGGGTTCTTTATCCAATGCCTCCACCTGTACACACTATTGATGTGCGTTACGTTTTTGATGGATTTCTGCTCCTTGACGGCTTCCTTAGAAACCTTGGTGGCCCCATGAATCTTTCTTGAGGCGTTCTTGCAGCCCCTTGGAGCAACTTGGAAGCCATCTCGAACGATCTTGCGCTACCGTTGAATGACCCTCTTAGAAGCCATGCTGGTATCTCTGAGGCCTCTTGGAGCCATCTTGAGCCATCTTGGACGCTCTTACGACAACCCGCGACTCCCGCCCCCCCCCCCGCAGACCCAAGGGAGGGTGTGGGAGGAGTGGTGAAGACACCTCGCCCAGGCGCAAATTATTTTTTTCTCACTCCCGCCTGCCCTCTCAACACATAAGCAGTACCCGAGTCTCATCATATTCAGCGTTCGTCTTTGGATGGGCAGATCCTGGGAACCAAGGCAGACCCCAGGTGCGCGATGCTGGGGCGAGGTGCACCGCGTCAGCCTCCACCATCCCTGTCGGAAACCAATGAACAATCGCGGCTGGGTGGCCGTTATGATGTCATATTGGCCTGCGCAGAGCAGGCAACGTGCCAGCACCCTGCATGTGATCCAGATTCAGCCGCAAACATTGGTATTTTCACACTGGTGGTGGTCATGCGCACAGCAGGTCATTTGGTGGCACCCCTTCCGTCCCTGTCACAACCGATACAAAGTGCTCGCGGCCCCCCCGAGCATGACCCAAGGTTTTGCCGCAACGTGCGCTCATCATTTTTTCGCACGGGTGGCAGGGATGGTGGCATTAGTCTTGGTGTGTCCCCGGTTGGGTGGAGGAGGGGGCGTATGAGATGTCCCCCCCCCATCGAAAGCGGAAGAAAGGGAGTTGGAAGATTCATCTCGCTCAACCACCTCCGCCCCGAGGATTGGTGGGATACTGAATGCCTCGCGTATCGCCGCCAGCACATTCAGCCAGGATGCCCAGGCGAATTGCCGTGATCAGGAAAGTATGGGAGCATTCAGGGGAACGAATAGCTGAAGAGGTCGTGCCTTTCAGGCCCAGAAGCCAGTTGGGGCCGTCTTGGCGCCATCTTGGGGCCTCTCGGGGGCATGTTAGAGCACATCTTCAGCTCACTTGGACCGTCTTTGGGCCCACCAGCCCATCCAGAAGCGACACCCAGGGGATCTGCCCGCATCGGGGGAGCGTGGCATCGTCTGGAGACCTCGGCAGGGAGCCTCGTGGCGGACTCGAGGGCCTCCCTGGGCGCCTCGGGGGCCTCGCGGCGGTCTTCAGAGCATCCTGGGGGAGCGTTTCTTGAGGGCCTCCTGGGCCGACTATAGGGGGCTTCTTGGGCTGTCTTGGAGCTGTAGCGGAGGCCTCGTGGGCCGTCCTGGGCGGTCGCAGACGCAAGAAGGGTAGAACCTCAGATCCGTCAAACAACGTAAGCTGAGGACCATCAATTGTATTTGCATCCTCGGGTTCTGCTGGAGGTTACCTTGGAGCCCTCTTTGGCCATCTTGGGCCCTTTGGCTGTCTGGAGGCTGTTATGGAAGCCTCGTGCGAGGTCTTGAGGCCGACGTCACTCTGGCAATCTAGAGGCTGAATGTGGGGGTGGATTGTATAAGATTTCGAGTGTTGAGGGGGGGCGGACCTAGGAAGCACCAAAAGGCTTCACTCGACAGCAGAAGAGCATTCTAAAACGCCCACTCTGTACAGGCACGGTGGCGGATGAGTGCTAAATATGTGTTTTAATGTTTGGTTTACGTATTGGAGGTCTAGTAGTGGTGCATGTTGTTGGCACCTACGTGTGAGGTATTTTTTTGGTGTCGTGTTTGGACTTTGTTGGTCATGCACGGTATGGTGTCGGTTATGTTTGCGATTTGCGTTCGCAATGGTTGTTATTGATTTGTTCGGCGTGTGTGGTTGATGGTTGGTGTTTGGTACGGCACATGTTTGAGATGTGTATGCTACTATCGATGAATAGGTTTGGTGTGCAGGGTTGGCGTATGCTGGGTGATGTAGGCGCTTGATGCTCATCCATGATGTCCAATGTCCTTCGGTCCATCCAGTCACCGTGCCTGAGTTGTAGGTCTGAAGCCTCTTGGATGTTCTTTAGAATCTCGTCGAGGCCTCGCGGGGGCCTCATGGAGGCAGGTTTGAAGCCACTGAAGGGCTGTGTTGGTGCCTCATGTTTTTTTGGGGGAACCTCTTGGGCCTCGTGGGGGCCTGATGGGGGCTTCTTGGGTTTAGTGGGCCCCGGAAACGGCAGGGCTGTTTCCTTTTTCCGAAAACGTAATTATTGAACATGTGAATCGCAAAAAAACGGCGACCGGAAACGACACAAAAACGACTCTAGGATTGGAACCAGAGCCGGAACCGGTAAAACAACGAAAACGGAACCGGTAACAAAACGGCGTCGGAATTGGCAAACAAAAACGGCAAAATGGAACATGTAAAACATGGCTTTGCCGTTTCCAGGGCCCACTAAGCTCTTGGGAGCCTCGAAGGGCTTCTTGGGAGCCTCTAAGGACCTCCGGGGCGCGGGCGGAAGGCTCGGACGTCTTGGCGCCCTCTTGAGCTGTCTTGGGCGTGTCTTGGGCCGTCTTGGGGCACCCCCGCTTGGGCTGTCTTGGGGCCCTCTTGGTGGCCTCTGACGCCGTCTTGGGTCGGTCTTCGCGGCCTCTTGGGTGTCTTGGAGCGTCGGAAGCTCGAAAAGTGGAACCGCAAAAACATAAAAACACAGCCGAGGAGCATCTGATCTTTTGGACGCACGGGCCCATTTTCGGCCGACCGGAGGCCATCTTGGGCGTCTTGGACCGCCTGCTCGGCGATTCGGGGCTCTCTTGGACCATCCTTGGGGCTTCTTTTGGCCTTCTTTCGGACGGAGGAGGTCCACAATGCCTCCCCGAGCGGGAGACTGGGGATGTCTCGAGCGAGAGTGGGGGGACCACACCACCAGGGAGACCCCCTTTGCCTCCGCGCATCTCCTCGCCCTGGTGGTTCTGGTGTCGCCTTTCCTTGTTCCTATCTTGGACCATCCTTGGGGCTTCTTTGGGCCCTCGTGGACCGTCTTTGGCGGGCGGCACCGGGGGCCCGAGGAGGCTCCGTCTTGAAGCCAGCAGGGGCCCACAAGGAGCCCTAGGGGGACCTTTTTCTTGGTATCGCTCGGACGTGTGCACTTTTTCTCGGCGGGGATTATTAAGGAGCATCCTGGATCATCCTGTGAGAAAAAAACCACGCACGAAACCGAACAAAGCACAGGCGATGGACGTCCGAGCGATGGCCAGTTTTAGATGTCTTCTCTCCATTCCCCATCCAGGTCACCCCCCATGACCACACGCCCGAAGAACTCCTCGAAGTAAGGACCGACTCAGGGGGCGGGCAAGAGGCCTAGGAACACTCTACCTCATTCCACAGGGGGCACGGTGGCGGATGTGTGATTGAGCCATGTTCGTGGTGTGCGCTATGGGTACCCAGGTTTGATCTGTGTGGTATTGGTGTAGGATCATGGCGCTGGTTCTTGGTGTGTTTTGGCTTATGTATGTCACTAGGGTATGTGAGGCATGTGCATGTTATACAGTCATGCGCTCGGTATATGTTATTCGTAGCTGTTGGTGGTGTCTGTTGTCGATGCCTCTTATTGGTGCCGTGTCTCTTCGTGGTGTTTTCACGCACGTTACTAACGCATGTGTTTGATGCCTATTCTTGATCGTGATCTCGGCGTTTCTTCGAGATGTCGTCCGTGGACGGCGTGACGTCGTG